AACGGGATTCGGCACCTCTGCTCCATCTCCGTCTGGCCGCTCCCCGGTTCAGGTGGACATTTTTTTCCTTTCTCGCATTTTTCTTGCCTTTAAAAAAAAATACTCCCTAAACGGCACTGACTTGACATGGCTTGTGGCCCAGGCCTGCGCGCGGGGCCGGGACGGGGGCCAGGTGGCCAGCTCGCCGAGCGCCTGGCCGGCTGGGGGTCTTTGATGCCGCCTTCACGGGAAATCTGAGTGAAAGACGCGGGAGCACGATTTTCGGGACCAACGGTGCGGTGGGATTCATCCTGCCTCATGCGGTTCCCTTTGTCTCTCTCCCCCTGACCCTCGTTTGGGCCGTCTGGGGAGAGGGTCCCGGGCTGAGGGTCGGGTGCGGACATGGGTGCGAGCGCGCACGGGAGGGTGCAGAGGGCAGGGGGGCTGAGGGCAGGGCCCCAGCCTTAAGAACAATGGGCAGCAGGGAGCGCATCCACCTGTCCGCCCGCTCGTCTGCCCATCTGTCGGCCCGCCCGGCTTACCTCACCTGCCTGGCTCCGTGTGCCTGCTCACGCCCCACCATCCCGCGGTCCGCCATGATGGGCTTGGCCGTCTGTCTGAGCACTTTCAGTCACTCCAGGACGCGGGTCCCTGCTCTTGGCCACTGTGTGGCTGGGAGGAAGAAGTGTGACTCTGGGCTGCAGCTCGGGCTCCCACCGCCGATTGGCTGAGGCAGGGACCAGATGACGGCCGCAGAACCCTATGGTAGCCATGGCAACCAGCCCCTTTAGACACCGCCACCCCCTGAGCCACTCCTGACTGCCGAGGGAGCAGGCAGTACCGCCGTGGGCCCACACACTGGGTCCCCTCTGAGTGTCGGGTCAGGCATCACAGGACCCTATTCCTGCACCAGCTGTCGAGTGCGTGTGTGTGTGTTTCATGTACATCCAGTGTGAAGGGTCCAGGTCCCTCTCAGGACATGTCCCAGCCCACTCTGTGTCCTGCCTGACCACCTGCTGGAAGCAGGAACAATGTCTTTGCAGCCTGCACTTCGAGGAGGATTTCAGGTCAGGCTTGCCCTAGGGGCTGAAGGCCAGGCCATCTAGTGAGGGCAATGGGAGAAAGGGCAGGGGGAACTCATCATACTCAGGGACACAGAGCCAAGCTCTCAATCCACCTGAGACCCCCAAGGGGCCTGCCAGCTTTTTCTGCCTGCGAACCCCTCCTCCACTCTCACCAACCTAGTGAACACAGAGACAGGCTCACCCTGTCCCTTCTCAAGAGCCTTCGGAGGCCCCAGCCTGGCCAGCCCTGTTGCTTCACAGACCCTGTGTCCCCAGCCCGGCAGGACTCTGGAACCTCAGTCACACCAAGCACTCCCCAACCCTGCAGAAACTAACCACACACCAGTGACTTTGTACCCGCTCTTCCCTTGGCCTGAATCCCCGGGTCTGTCCGCGACCAGCCCCTTGGTAAGGTTTCCTGGATGTCTCAAGACCGCACGCTTCTCATCAAGGGTTCAACACAGCGTCTCCCTGAGGACTGACCACCCCGAAGCCAACCCACCCCCGTCTTGAGACAGTCTACACATCCTCGATTCAGCACAAACACCATCAAGGCCCCCACGAGACATCTACCTGAGAGCCCTGGGAAGCCACATCCCACTTCCTGGACCACGTCCAGCCCACACTTGCTGGAGAAGACAAGTGAGCAACAGTCACAGGCCTGTGATGACTCGTGAGCCCCAGGTCTTTGGGAAGAGGCCACAGCGGCAGGTGCCCAGGGGCTGCTGAGGAAGCCGCCGCCAAGTTCAGAAGGACCTGGAAACGGAATCCGGAACACAGGTCCATAGTGGTTGTATGTCCAAGGGAAACGGGCTCAGGCTGGGCCAGGTGGGGCCCAGAGCTACATGGCCCCGAAGCTGCTCAGCCAGCCCAGGCACCTGGCCCCAGACTTCTCCATACTGGCTTGGCCTCACCCCAACTTGCTCAGTCACAAGTGAGCCCCCTTGTCTGCTGGACACCACCAACAGACAGGTCTTGTCCAGGGACAAGGTGTGGGTGGGGACATAAGTCTGGGTCTGCTGGAGTTGGAGTTGCTGGAGGGTCCAGCACTGGGAGCTGCATTCTGGAGCTCAGGGAAGGGCTCCGGTGCGCTGTGACAGAGGGGGCCCAAGGGCGTAGGGCTGATGCTGCTTCGCCAGTCCATGGGACCCGGGCTCTGGCTCGGGGGCAGGCAGCTGGTGGGGGCGGAAGGGCGTCTGGAGCACAGGCTCCAGAGGGAAAAAGACAGTGCACGTGGGTGGCTTCACAAGAGCTCTTCCGGGCTCCTAGCAGAGAAGCTGTGGACTTGCCCGTTCTCTCCACACGCCCCACCCTGCAAGCCGATGTACACCTGACTGGGACTCAGGCAAGGCCCTCAAGGTGAGGGGCCAGGCACAGAGCCACAGGCTGGGCCACGCCCTTCCTGACCTCAGGTGTCCTTCCTGGGCCTCAGGACCCCGTGGTGTTGACGGTCACTTGCCAGGGACCTCTGCTGCCCCGGTCCCAAGGGACTACTCCGTCCATAGCTAGTGACGGTCAGCCCTCACGGACAGGCTGGGCTGCCATGAAACACATGAGCAAGGGCGTTGCCCAAGGGCTCCTGGAGGGCTGAGGAGGGACCGGGCCCAGCCTGTCTGCCCACCGGGGCCAGCGCAGCGCAGTCTGGACTTCTGTGGGCTTGATGGTGATCAGTACAACCAGCCACCCCAATCTAGAGGCCTGAGGGCCTACAGGGCCTCCTGAGGGGACTGGAGACTCTCAGCAGACTAGTGGAGGAGTGGCCTGTGGGCAGAAGTAACAAGGTGAAACCGGAGGGGGCACATGGTCTGGTGGCCTCCCACTGCCCAGCTCCGGGTCGCTGTGCAGCGTGTGCGAGCTTCCCCACTTCTGCGAGGGGAACGTGGCAGTTTCTGCCAATCAGGCACCTTCCCAGGCCCCAGGAGTTTTATTTGTGCGGGGGGGGAAGTCCGTCATTCACGGACGGCTGGGCCTTCCCTGAACGGAGGATCTTTGTGAGGATTGAACCGAACAGAGACTGGCTCTGCCAAGAAAGGGCTGAGGCCACAACCAGACCCGACGCAGGTTACGGGGACGGAAGGGACCCACTGAGACCGCACCATGCTCCCTGTACCGACCAGCAGCCCTGGGGGCTGGTCTGGGCCGTGCTTGCGGTAACGCCCATGCCCCAGGGAGAGCAGACCTGCAACCCTGAGACCTTCCTCCTGCTGCCCCCAAGTGTGGTAACCCCACTTCGGCTGGGCCTGTGCTTTCGACAGTCTTGCATGGCCCTCCAGTGGTGACAGGGAGACCAAGGCCGGAGTCCACCCTCCCCCGACACGGCCCACAGGCAGCCTAGTCCCCACCCTGCTCCAGCCACAGGCCCCTTCGGCTACCGGCGGGCACACAAACACTGCAAGTCGCGACAGGAGCTCCCCCAACCTGGACCTGTAGCCTGGGTGGGGGCAAGAAAGAGCAGCGGGGCAAGGTATGACTGAGAGCCATGGCCAGTGGACGGGGGCATCTGGGGTGCACAGCACAGGGCGGGGAGGCGGGTGACACAGGCCGTACTAGAAAGGGATCCGTTTAATTCAGTTCGGGGCTGAGGATGGGAAACATCAAGTGGGATCAAGTGGGCATTTGAGGGCTGGCCTGTCCAGACCACCACAGTGGTAGCCGTGGCCAGCGGCTGTGGTCAGGCCAGCCAGGGCTGGGGCAGGGGTAGTCTGGGTGCTAGCAGCTTTTGGTAGAATCTCTTAAAAATTTAAATCTGGGGGTCGCCTGGTGGCTCAGCAGGTTAAAAGCCTCTGCCTTTGGCTCCGGTCAAGATCCCAGGGTCCTGGGATCAAGCCCCATATCAGGCTCTCTGATCGGCGGGGAGCCTGCCTCCCCCTCTCTCTGCCTGCCTCTCTGCCTACTTGTGATCCCTGTCTGTCAAATAAATAAATAAAATCTTTAAGAAAAAAAATTAAAATCTGGGGGCACGTGGGTGGCTCAGTGGGTTAAAGCCTTTGCCTTCGGCTCAGGTCGTAATCTCAGGGTCCTGGGATCGAGCCCCACATCGGCTCTCTGCTCAGCAGCGAGCCTGCTTCCCTCCCCCTCTCTCTGCCTGCCTCTCTGCCCACTTGTGATCCCTGTCTGTCAAATAAATAAATAAAATCTTTAAAAAAAAAATAAAATCTGTCCCCAATGTTGGGGCACCCCATGAAGAAACTATCGTGTGCATCAAGACATGGGTCCAAAAGTATGTTCCAGAGGAGTCTGGGACTGACGACAGCATTTCCCAGCTTCACCCAGAGATCTCAGGATCACTCCCCAGAGAAGGGACCCTGCCCCTCAATGACGTCCCTATGCTGTGGGGTCTCCAGGGCTCCCCTGCCGCTGTGCTCGCTGGCCAGCCACAGGCTCCCTCTGGCCTCCACCTCCATGAACACTGCCCAGATGTCTTCACTTCCACAGCACCTGTCAGGGGAGCCGAGTGCCCCTGGGTCAGCTGCCAGGACCAGGTCAGGGGGATCACTCCCTGTCCTCCTAGAGTGATCCAAATGGGTCTCAATGCTCCGTACTCCCAGGAAAGGGCTGGGGATGAAGGTCAAGGCACCCCCAAATCTCGCAGCAGAACAGCCTCAGGGCACTGGCCCGGCCGCCCACTAGGAATCCCATCCCTGCACCTCCCGAGAGCTGGTGGGGTGCTCACCGCCCTGAATGGTGCGTCAGCAGAGCTCCTTCCCAGCCACTCCCAGGGTGAGCCCAAGCCACCTGGCCTCTGCTCCAGAGAGCCCTCCAGGCGGATGGGGACGTACGACAGGGAGACGATCTGTTGCCACATGGCTTCAGCGACACTGCACCCTTCTGGAGGAAGGCCAGACACGGACACCAATCCCAGTCCCACAGCTCAGCCACATCCCAGGTCTCTGGGGCAGGACACGACGAGCTCAAAGACTACTCGGGAGAGTACTTCCAAGCAAAGCAGCACACACATAGCCTAGTTCAGACTTTACTTGTGCTGCCCCCAAAGTGTGGTGACCCCACGTCAGCTAGGCCCCCACTTGAGGGGGGAGGGGGACTGCAGAGGCAGCAAGATGGCCCCAGACCTCTGGGGACCCTGGGACAAGACTTCCTGGGGCCTCCACAAAACCTGCCCAACCCTGCAAGCTGCTGGGTCATCAGAGAACGGGTTCATCCACTACCCACGCGTGGCCCTCCGCACCACCCCAGGCTCTTGGGTCCACAGTGCTGCGCGGCAGGCGAGGCGGTGAGCACGGCTATCCGGCATGGGTCCGAGTCGCTCATGTCCTGCTGGCTTTCTTCTGCACGACCGCCGGCTCAGCCAGAGCCTGCTGCCGCAGCCGCTCAATCAGCTCCTCCACGTAGACCTTGAACAGAGGAGTCGGGGCCTACGGGAGGGACCCAGGGTCAGGAAGAGTCGCTCTGGGGAAGACGGGAATCCAGCTGCCACTGCCCAAACACCAAGAGGAATCTGGTGCAAGAAGACTAGACCCCTCAGGCTTGGCCACAGCTACCAGCCCAGAGGACAGCACCTTGTCCATGAGACAGGGGCCACTGGGGACAGGGACCAGGCGTCTGTCCCCAGCTTCCCTGCCCCAGGGCCCTGTGGCTGCAGGGGAAACAGAGGGAACAGAGTCAGTGGCCACTGCACCGTGGTGGGTTCCCTGTTCCAGCGGCAATCACAGGCTCCAGACCCTTCCAGGGTGCAAGAAAGACACAGAGAGACCTCAGCTCCATACCCGGAAGACCCCAGGGCAGGGGGCTGCTAGTAGCCAAAGAAACCAAAGGTGCCACCAAGAGTCTTTCTGTCCATGAACTTATGAAGCCAGCTGGGGGCGGGACAGGAGAAAGTCAGGGCCTTGAGGGGAGAGGGCATGCTGCACAGAACCCAGGGCTGTGGCTGTATCTGGCCAGCTGTGCATGGGGCAGCTCCTCCCCCGGCTCGGGGCGGGGGGGGGGGGCCGTGGCCCTCATCCAGGCTTGCCCTGAGGCAGCGCACGCCCCCACCCCGCCCGTCTGCTAGTGCCCACGCCTGCTCACCTTCTCCTCCAGGAGCCTCTGCTTCTCCACGGCCTCATCCAGCGTCAGGCCAACCCACTCGGCTTCCGCCTCTGGGATGACAAACTCCTGCCGGGGAGAGGCCGGGCACACGATGAGCACAAGTACTGCCTGTCAGTGGGGCCCACAGGAAGCAAGAAGTTCAAACCCAAGCCCTCACCTTGTACTTGTCGTAGATGGCGGCCCTCTTCTTGGGGTCCTCCGGGTGCAGCTGCGGGTCCTGTCGTGCCAGCCGCAGCAGCATCCCCCGCTTCAGGTCCATCCCAAACTTGGAGCACAGGTCCTCCTTGGAAGTCTGGCAGGAGGCTACGCATGGGGCCAGGTGTTGCCGGGGGGGCCCTGCCCACCCGCCAGCAGACACCACCAGGCTCCTCCTCAGCAGCCAGAGGACCACAGGCCACCCCCAGAGCAAAGGAAGGCCTGAGAGCAGGGAAGGAGGCAGCAGTGCTCACGGGGAGCCCATTTATGGTTCACGGGTGACCCTGCACCCCAGACACGGGCGCGCCCCAGCGAGTCTCTGACTTGCCAGGAGACGGCTGTGTGCTGGCACAGCCCCTGCTCACCTTGAGGATGTAGAAGTCAAACCCGTAGGCCTCATCGATGAGGTCCAGGGTCCGCCGTGTCACGGTCACGGTGAACTTCCTGTCCAGGATCTCGCTGTACAGCTCACGCTGAAACAGCTGTGGCTTCCACACCTTCTTCACCCGCTTTGAGAGCTAAGGGAGGACCAGAGACCTCGTGAGTGCTGCCGCTTCTCCCTACAGAGCCTAATGGGGTCCAGGGCCTCTTCCTGAGACTCAGGACCAAGAGGTAGATGGACCAGACCCCACCTGGGGACCCAGAGATCCGCTTTTCCTCAGCGCTGCCTGGGCTGCCGGTGGTGTTCCAGACACACCACACGTACAACCATAACCCCATGGTGCACGGGTCATCACATTCCAAACCAGGGACCAAGGCACCAAGGCAAAGGGAGAGGCCACCTGGGAGGCCTCCAACACACAAGCCAGAAGGCCCAGCTCTCCGTCCAGGTTTCCCACCAGACACGGCACGGTGTGGACGGCCGGCTGTGTGTCTCCCAGCCTTCCCGAGTGCAGTGACGATGTGCCAGTACCGGCCGCGGCCGTGTCATGACAAGGAGGCCAACGGCAGCATGTCAGGCTGACAGGGGGCCGAAGACCTGCCGTCCCCCGACGCCCCCCCGCCCACAGACGTCCTCCCATCCTTACACCTGGCCTGGCGAATCTCCCCAGTGGCCCTGCACCCCCTGGTTCCCACAGCCACCACCGTCTCAGAACACCCAGCGGGGTTCGCGGGCAGTCAGGTCAGCTGGAACGGCATCCCCACAGGTCAGCCTGCTTCTTCCGAAGAACTGAGTCTCCACCACAGCGCAAGCACACACCCCTACCGCACCCCACCCGGGAACCCCCAGGGCTCAGCACCACGCCCAGGGCAGCAAACCCCAGAGAGGTCCTCGGAAGCCTGCCCTGCTCCCCTACCTTGTCGTTGTTGACATATCTGTAGCCGGAGATCCAGCCCTCCCCGCCCCAGAGCCCCAGCTGGGATTCTGGGGGGTAGTAGATGGGAATGGGTACATCCTCCACACGCTCCCGCTGCCCATTCTTGGGGTTGATCTTGAACTTAACCCCGTGGGGCCTGTAGTGCACAGGAGTGGGTGTTCGCACCTCCTCCAAGGAGCGCAGGTAGTGCTGCGGTAGCCGGGAGCAGATCCCCTCCCGCAGCCGGAGCCGCTTCCACAGGCCGACCGGGAACTTGTGCAGGGGCATCGCGCAGCCTGACCGGAGGCGGGGATGGCGCTGTTAGACCGCAGGCCCGCCGCACTCCGGCCCCGTCCCCCGCCCCCCCCCGCCCCCCCCCCCCCGACCCCGATCCCCCCGACCCTAGCCACCTGACTCCCCACCCCAGTCCCTACCCCGAAACCAGCCCTCTGACTCCAGACCCCGGTCCCCCCCCAGCCCCCCGACTCCCCACCCCGGTACTCCCGAACCCGGTCCCCACCCCGACACCAGCCCCCTGACTCCCGACCCCGGTCCTCCCAACCCCGACCCCAGTCTCCCGACTCCCCACCCCGGTCCTCCTGACTCCAGTCCCCTGACTCCCGACCCCGGTGCCCCCGACACCAGCCCCCTGACTCCCCACCCCGGTCCCCCCCGACACTAGCCCCCTGACTCCCCACCCAACTCCCCCCAACCCCGGTCCTCGCGACCCCGGTCTCCCCCGACAACAGCCCCCTGACTCCCGACTCCGGTCCCCCAGACCCCAGCCCCCAGAAACCGGCGCGGCCCCACGACTCCAAGTCCGAGCCCAACTACCCGCGTATCCTCTTCCCTCGCCCCGACTCCTAATCCCGGACCCTGACCCGGACCCTGGCAGGACCTCCTCAGCCCACCAGACTCAGCTCTGACCTAGAGCCCAGCCTGCCTCTCCGAGTTCCGCGCCCCACCGGAACCGGAAGTCGCGACACCGCGCTCAGCACCGGTCCGACGCTAACTGGCCGAAAAGCCCGTCAGTCTAGCTTCGTCCCGCCCCCTTTCCTGCCTTTAGGGACCGTGGAAAATGCCGGGCAGTGACGGCGGCAGCTCAAGGCACCGTCAGCAAAAGCGGGTCCTTTTCCCTGGAGCGGAGCTGGGGGCGGGGAAGGGTGGAGCCTGTCATCCTTGGTCCCACTCCCTCTGCTCCCCTCCAAGAGCAGAAATCCGTGTAAGTGGAAAAACTCTTCCGTCTCGGGGTGCCGGGGTGGCCCCGTCGGTTAAGAGTCCGACTCTTGATTTCAGCTCTGAGACCCAGCCTCCCTAAGCATAGATCCTGCTACAGAGCCTCTCCCCACCACCGCCGCGTCCCCCACCCCCCGTCCGCCCCAGCGCTGTCTAAAAGACCCTTGTGCCTTGAAATATCGCTGTGGAATATTAAACTCAGCAATCACAGCAAAATCAGAGCGACATAAAAATGTCTTAACGTCTTGAAAACTTGTAACCCAAAAAACACCATATGTAAATGTTTGTTCCCCCTTTACAAGTGCAGGGTGACAAGGGGTGGAGGAGGTGGTTTCACACCCGGGAGAGTAGGTGGGAGGGCTCCATGTCCCCACCCCACCGCACCGTCCGCTGCCTCAGCTTCCTGAGGTCACTTCTGGCCACTTCCAGCACTCCTGGTACAGAGAGCAGCCCACTACAGTGTGGTCTTAGGGGAGAGGCAGTCAGCCCCCCTTCTCCTGCTTCCCCCACAGAGGCTGGGCTAGGTCTTGGGGAACCCCCCCCAAACACACGGTCAGGCCTGTACAAGGCAGCAGTCATCACTTCCTCCCCCAAAGCAACCAGAGAGGATGCGTAGCCCCCCAGACAGGGCCCAGGAACCCATGGGGTGGCTGGAGAGATAGAGTCGGGCCAATGTGTGCCCCAGGGTACTGCACACCCAGAGCAGCTCAGCAGCCCTCCCCCCAGGGCCTGCAGCTCCAAAGCCAAGTGCCAAACAGAGGGGAGCCGCAGGACTGGACAGCAAAAACGCAGCCACTGATGGTGGCCCCAGGGCCCAGTAGCTCCCTGGTGAGTGCCGTCACCTCTCCCCACAGTACTGCAACTGCAGGGAGCACCCCCATGCCCAAGGAAGGCTGGCATCAGGGCACACCTCATCACGGAGCCAGGGATGCAAAGAGGGCACAATCCCTGCTTGGTGGGGCGGAGGCCTGCTGGAGGTGGGCTCAGGCCTCCTTGGTCCCCCTGGGTCTCACCTCACCTTCTCACAGGGGAACAGGGCTGATGGGGGCCTCTCTCTCCCCATCTCCAACCATGTTTCAGCCAGAACACAGGCCCTGCCCCTGCATGGTACCTGCGGTCTCTAAGGAGCCAGGCCCGGGCCCCAGGCGCCCCTGCAGATGCTGGCTGGGACCTGCAGAGGGACCGGCAGGCACCGGGGAACTGAGGGGGCGGGTGCAGTCCTCTCCTCAGGAGGAAGCCAAAGAGTGCACGGGCAATTTTATTCAGCTGGAAATGGACCGGACAGGGTCCTTCTCCTTTGGTCCTGCCCCTGGCCAGAGAGCCCATCATCACGGTGGCCGGTGTCCCTGAGCCGGCCACGTCATGTCACCGTATACAGGTCCTCTCGGTGGTTCTTGCAGATCTGGTAGCGGCACGTGAGCTTCTGCGAGCAGGCCCAGGGCTTGGTGTGCTCCTCCCGAGGCGGGAGCAGGCAGGCCGCACTCCCGGCCAGCAGCACGTGCCAGAGGCTGTGGGTGTAGTAATAGTTGTCACTGGTCATCATGGAGGTGTAGATGGCAATGCCCAGAGCAGCCATGGAGATGCCGGGCAGGAGGTAGAAGGCCCAGCGCTGCCAGGAAGTGGGGTAGCAGTGGCGCCGGCGTCCGCAGCGGTACACCTGGAGAGAACCGGCCCGTGAGTGCAGGCAGAGAACGCTGCTGGAGCCGCAGCTCCCAAGATCCCTCCCCCCAGGTCTGGGCAGCGGGATGGACCGTCGGTGTGGCTGCTTGGAGAGGCCCCAAGGGCACAGAGACCTGGCATGGACCAGGCCCGGGTCTTGGGCACGAAGCCATGCTGGGCCCTCATGGGTGCCCCCAGCAAGTTCTCAGCAGACATGCGGGACTTGGGCCCAGGGGCAGGAACATGGCCAGAATGGAGGGCCAGGCTCTGTTCCCCCGAAGCAGGGGTCTGTGGGGGGCCCAGACTGTCTTCTCCCAATCACCAGGGGAGGGGGCTTGGGCAGGAGTGCTGGCCTGTCCCAGCTCCTTACCCACATGGTGACCATAACCACAAAGGCAAAGAGGCAAGGCCCCATCATGTTCCAGGCACCCCTGCGGTCCAGCTGCAAGGACATGGCGAAGATCAGCGTGCCCAGGAGAAACAGGACCTGGTCAAGACACAAGGGTGACCACAGGGTCACAGGAACCCTCAGCCAGTCGTTCATGACCACACAAGGTCCGGGAGGAACAGGTGACCTGGGTCTGGTCATTGTTCCACAGCCCCCACTGTCCCTTGGCCTGAGAGCTGCCGGCAGATTTTGTCCTGCTCTGCATTGATCCACGGATCCACTGATCCATCCACCGGTGAACTTTTTTTTTTTTTAAAGATTTTATTTATTTATTTGACAGACAGAGATCACAAGCAGTCAGAGAGGCAGGCAGAGAGAGAGGGGGAAGCAGGCTCCCCGCTGAGCAGAGAGCCCGATGCAGGGCTCGATCCCAGGACCCTGGGATCACGACCCGAGCCGAAGGCAGACGCCTAACGACTGAGCCACCCAGGCGCCCCAACTGGTGAACTTTTGAGGCACACACATGGCCCGGCAAGGTGCCAGGCCACGTGTCTCTGTCAGCCAGGACCAGGTGAGGCAGAAAAGTCCCTAGAGTGTCCTTAGCACCTGGGACTGTGGGAGCAGAGCCGGGGGCTCGTCAGGGAGGCCTGGCCTCAGACAGGCGCTCTAGGCCTCCTCTCTGAATGGGGCTGTGGGAAGACAGGCTGGGGACCTCACTTAACCCTGTCCACTACCTTTCTTTCCTGGCATCCCCAGGCAGCCAGCCCCTCCCAACTGGAGGCAGCTTCTTCCAGCAGGTGCACGGGGGTTCCAAGGCACAGCGGGTTTCTAAGCGCCAAGCCCTCTTTCTGGTCTAGTCCTCAACACGCGGCCGGCCAGGAGCCCAGGCACAGGTGTCGGGAGTCACTCACGTGTTTCTGGGCTGCCTTCAGCCGCGCCATGCAGAGGATGGTGACCCAGACGGACACTCCGGAGCCCAGGAAGTCACAGTACTGCAGGGTGTCATAGCCCAGGATGCAGAGCACCGCCTCGCCGGGCTGGTCGCAGGCGTGGTAGAACTGCGGGGCAGGGGTGGTGAGCCGCGGCCAGCCCCTCTCCCGGCCCCCTCCATCCCCGCACCCCTGCAGTGAGCCCACCGTGGAGAAGAACATGGTGTAGGCATAGACGGAGGCCTCCACCAGGAGCGAGCGGTGCACCGAGACGGCGATGGGAGCCAAGAACATGAGGTTGCTGAGAGTGAGAAGGAGGGCGGCCACCCGCTGCTGGGCTACTGTCTGGGCCGTGCTGTTGTCCGTGCAGCTCCACCCACGCCAGCCTGGGAGCCAATGTGACACCAAGGGGGCTGAGGCCAGGAGGCGTCCTTCTGAACCCCAGGGCCTTCCCCTCCCCGAGAGACCCGCAGAGAAGCCCCTTCCTCACCCAGAAGCAGGCTGGCATGGGGCAGGGCAGGTGTAGAGCAGCTGTGGGCAGGGTAGGCCCAGGTCATCAGTGCCTGGGACGCAGTGGGGGTGGGGGACTGAGGAAGCATGGAGGAAGGAACAGGGAGGAGGCATCTGCCCTGGCCCGGCAGAGTCCCTCTCAGGCCCTGGCAGAGTGGAGGTGGGCTCCCCAACCTTGCCCTGCAAGGCCCAGGGGCAGGGTGCCAGCAGGCTCAGTCGATGGAGCACACAAGGCTTGACCCCGGGTCCTGAGTTCAAGCCCCACCCGGGGTGGAGAGATGACTTAAATAAATAAACTCGAACACAAGAGCCGGTGTCCAGAGGCCCGTGGGCCCAGCACTCACCGGCCTTGCAGCTGCAGCCCGCATACAGGTAGCTGTGTCTGCGCAGCAGGACGCACTGGCCGTAGGGTCCACAGTCGTTCAGGCAGGGCACCAAGGTCAAAGTGGTCTCCACGAGGACCGAGGCCTGCTCACACTCCCTGTGAGGAAGGGGCCGCAGGAAGCCTAGCTGCTGGCACCTGCTGGCCCGTCCCTCGTCCGGACTCTCGGCAGGCTCTGGGACACAGGAACCCACACCTGAGGCCCCCATGCTCCCAGTCCTGGAGGACGGCAGCGGCGAGCTTTGCTGAGTCTGAGACGCCTTTTCCCCCCAACCTGCCCTGAGGCCCAGTCTCCCGGGGCTATGTCCTGGACTGGTCCCCCTCCTTGGGTCCTGACTCCCGGGGCTGCAGCATGACGGGTGAGCACATGGAGAAGAAGCCCTCACAACTCCCGGAAGGCAAGGGGCCCCACAGGGCTTTGATCGCTCCCTAACCTGGACCTGGGCAGCCCCATGCATGGTCCTGCTGGGAGCAGTCCGCCGCCTGCCCCCAGCCGGCAGTCCCCAGGTCTACTCACTCTGGATTCTCGGGGCACACGAGCTGCAGGGAGAGGTACCAGTTGTCCGTCTCTGGGTAGGGGATGATGAGGTCGGCCTTGTGCGATGCAGCACTCAGGGTCAGTGGGGAGCCCTGGAAGAAGGCTACAGCGGAGGGGGGCTGATCAGCGGCAGTCAGAGGGGCTGGCCGGGGACCCTAGGCCGCACGCTGCCCGGGCATACCTGTGGTGCAGTTGAGCGACATGCTGAAGCTGAGGAAGGGGGAGGCGGCATTCACACAGATGGCGACCAAGGTGCTGTTGGTAATTCCAGTCTGGAAGGAGAAGCCACGCACTCAGCCCCAGCCCCAGAGCAGCGGGCTCCCACTCTGGCTGGTGCCGGGCTCCGTTCTCCATGGCTTCTGCCGGTCCAGGGCCCTTCTAGAACCTTTCCTTCCAGGACGGGGGACGCCCAGCCTGATCCCACCCGCAGCCTCACTTCCTGAGGCACAGCCCACAGAACAGGCCTCCCTCTCCTCAGACAGAGCCCCTAATCTGCCCCAGGGCCTGCAGGGGTCAGCTTGTCGCCCAAAAGGCCAACCTCGTCTCTGTGCCACAGTCAGGGCAGGAAGACTCAGGCAGCACCCCTGAGGCTGGGCGGGGCTGAGCCCCGGCTGATCCAGGAAGCAAGGCCCTTCCCGGTCAGGGTACTTACCTTGTTGGCCCGCAGGGAGACAGTGAGGGAGCCCCCGCTGTCCATGCCGGTATCCATGTACAGCCGCATCACAGAGGGCGTGGCGGGTCGCACCCGCACCCACACCCTGTCCACTGGCCAGAAGCGCACAGACACCACGTCCAGGTCTTCCCGAATGACTGGGTAGCTCGCCAGGCAGCAGGGGCCCCCATGCCTCCTGCTGCTCCCGCCCAGGCCGTGGCCGCCATGGTCACCGGGGCGCTGGGGCAGCAGGCCCGTGGAGGCGTTGCAGCTCCCATTCAGGCTGCTCTGTGGAAGGTGCTGGAAGTTCAGGGTCCACGGCCTGCAGGCTGTCAGGGGGACAAGGGGCTCAGCCACGGGAAGGCCTGGGGATCCTCGGCAGGAGCCGGAGCCACCCGTGCCCGTCCTTCCCCTTAGCCCACCTGTGAGGGCAGCTACCGCCTGGAAAGCCACCAGCACGCGAGGCCCCGCCAGGCTCTTGGCTGTCACCTGCAGCCACCGGTCCCAGGGTGGTGAGGGCAGCAGCAGGCGGCAGGCCCCAGTGGGGCTGACGCACGTGAGCACCTTCTGGAAGTTTCTGGGCAGGGTGGCAGCGCCCACGGTGAGGCGCACAGGGCAGCCCAGGCTCCCGTTGGCGGCACAGCCCTGCAGCTCCAGCCGCAGCTCCTGGGTGTACTCAGGGATGAAGATTCTGTGGCCGCGGGGACACAGTCTTGCTCAGCCTCTGTGCCTTCCGCCAGCCTCCCGCGGCACCACGCCCGGAGGCTTGGCCTCCCCAGGAGCCCTACTCACTTGAGGTAGCTGGGATGGGAGAGGAGGGTCTGCGGAAGGGGAACGTCGGGCTCCAGGATGGAGACCTCCACGGTCCGCACAACCAGCATGTCGGGCTGGAAGACGTAGGCGCAGGTGGGAACAAAACCCTAGGGAGAGAGCGAAGTGTGGGGGGAAAGAACATGCATATGTGGGGGGCACGTCAGGGGCAGACATGGGAGCTGGGGGGGGCAGAGCTGGAGCTGACATAGTGGGGGGGGGGGCCAGGCCTGGAGCAGAGAGCCCCGGCATGGAACGGGGTGGGGGGGGGGGGGGGACTGGACCTGTGCGTGCCAGGTGGAACCTAGAGCAAAGTCAGCAAGCGGCCTGCACATGGTGAAGGAGCCTGCCCCCTCCTCCCCGGAAGGCGGCCCCCTTACCTTCACCTCGATCTTCTGGGAGGCGGGGGGCAGGTGGGCCGCCACAAACCAGTCCCCGGGGGCTGGGTGGGAGATGTTGAGGGAAGCGTTGCTGTCCAGCATCTTGATGAAGAAGGGGGACTGCACGGAGCTGTTGGCGGGGAAGCTGGTGCCCAAAGGGTTGATGACAGGAGGGGCGCCATAACGGAAGTACCTGTGGGCGGGAGGGCGGCACGGGTGTCAGGGCGCGCGCGGGGGCGGGGGGTGGGGGGCGGGGGGCGGGCACCTACACAGTGAGCTCCACGCTGGCGCAGGCGGGGCCGCTTCCCCGGGACACTTGCAGCAGCCAGCGTAGCAGCACGGTGTCGGGGGGCACGCGGAAGCGGAACAGTCTGGCACTGCCGTACCAGCTGTAGAAAGACAGCTTCTGTGGGGACTGGGAGAAATGTTCGGACACCAGCCTGACGTCTGCGGGGAGAAGGTGCCGTCAGCCAGGCCCCCACCTCCTCACGGGGCCCCACAGACAGAGGAGCCTGGCACACCCCCACCCCCCAGCCTCGTTGCTGCCCCACCAGCCAGGGCAGCTGTCCTCCCCTCCTGCAGCCCCGGTGACTCCAGGGTCAAAAGATGGAGGCTCACGGGAGGTGCTCAGGGCTGTAGCGCTGCCCCTGCCCCCACCTGTGTCCTGGGCACCAGACACCAGCAGACTCTCTCCCCTCCCGCTCCATGCAGTGGGCCACGCTGAGGTGAGGGGACTCAGGCCCAGAGGCTGGCCACCTGCTCAGGCCCACGATGACCTGAGCACAGCCAGACGAGAGCCTGAGTTCTGCCTCACCCAGAGAGGAGGCAAGCAGAGACCCTGGGGGGAGGAGAGCCCAGGCAGGAAGCCTGGCCAGGTGTGAAGATGAAGGGACAGCTGGCTCCTGTGCTCATGTGGGCGTGTGCCCATGCAGGGTGGTACAGAGACAAGGCAGGGGCCCCTGGCAGCAAACTGCCCCCGGCCCCAGCCTCCTAGCCCCTCTCAGGTCCCCACCTCTGTGGCTCCCCGGCTCCCCGCCCCTCCACACTCTGTAACTCGGCCTGTGTCATGCCAACCTTTCCAGGGCCAGCTCTGAGTATTCTGGGGCTCAGCCCAGAGACCAGAGGACCCACCCTGATGAGGTCCCTGCTGGGGGTGTCCACTGACGGAGTGCACCCTGCCCCAGAGCAGGTGTCTGACCCCACGTGTGGTGCCCACCCACAACCCTCCCTCTTGGGGAATCCTACAGAACAGATCACCCTGAGCGTTCTCTGTGCTCCTGGGGATAGCTAACTGGGAGTGGGTTCCAGTCACAAGGTGCCTGGGCTGGATGGCAGGGAGTCCAGCCCCAGCTCAGGCTCAGGCCTCATGCCTCGTGTGACCTTGGGTGTCCCTCTCTCTGAGTCCCAGCTTCCTTGTGAGTTGGCTAAGAGAGACAGCACCTCCCTTCAGGTGCCCTGCCCTCCAAGTTAATGGATACCAAAGTGCTTCTGGAAGAAATGCACTGTGGACACAGTAGGGTGTGACCTCCCTCTCTTCCAGGCTGAAGGCCTCTCCCTGCCCCACTGGGCAAGTGGCTGGCTAACACCATCTCCATTTCCCCTTGCCCACCTCAACTCATCCAGGGGCCCCTCCAGGTAAGCCAGGGGAGCAGGGGAGGGAGCCAGGAGAGCCACTCCCCTTCTGCCAGCCTCCTGACCCTCCCACGGAGACATTGGAGAGAAGGTAGTGACCCACTTGCAAAGCCAGACTGAGCTCCAAAGGAGCCCTGCACAGCGGGGAGCTCAGGGGTAGGCTCTATACTGGGGGTGGGGGGGTAGGCTCTAAATCCAAGACTTTCCCTGTGGCCGCTGGCCACCAGGTCCCACTCCCCAGGCTGTGGACTGAACGCTAGGAAGCCAGGAGCTGCTGACCTAACACAAACCTCTTCCCGGAGGGCTGCTTCAGCCCCTAGGATAACATGATGAGAAGGGCAGAGCAAAGTGCTGGGGAGCCGAGGTAGGACAGTCCCCCACCCCCACCTCAGGACCAGGGCACCTTAGAGAAACAGTCTGCCAGCTGGGCACCCAGCACCCTGGCCTGAAAGGGGCAAGGACTTCTGGCCGCTGCCAGCGCTGGAATGTCAGCCAGAGGGCACCTGGAACACAGCTGGTAGGTGTGACGTTTCAGCAGGTGCACAGGAGATAAGAGACCTGTTCAAAATCCCCTGAAGAGCCAGCGAAACCCCTTCCCAGGGCCACAGCTTGACCTCCCTGGCCCAGACCCCCACCCGGATATCTTGCTGAATGCCCACATGACATCTTTCAGGGAGCCTCGGCCTTATGGACCCAGCCCTGCGCCACAGGCCCCTCCAAGGACACAGGGTCAGATGGAAAAGACAGAAAGTCCCCGAGCCTGTCCTGGGAACCCCAGAGAGGGCACGCCACCACACACGGGTACCCTGTACAGAGATCCTGCCCATGCACAGACTCCAGAAGCCAGGGCCACTCAGGGCCTGACCTCTCAGCAGGCCTAAGAGGTGAGGGGCTGCCCCAAGTTTTCCATCTCCATAAGACCCCCCACCAGCGAGCCCTCACCCAGCCCTGACCCCTGGATGGAGAAACAGGTGGACATAAGGAGGGCAATATCCCACGGAGCAATTCAACCAGGAGCCATCTCCTGGGAAACTACCTTTCATTTCAAGCCTTGCCAAGCTCAGACACCAGACGCACAGCCCTCAAAGAAACAGGAGCTTGGAGGGTTTCAGGGAAGGGGGGAGGGGCAGGGAGCCAGGAAGTGGAGGGAGAGAGCCCCTGCTGAGCGGGATAAGCCGCCTGCTGTCCAGGGGGAGGTGTGGGCTGGGGCCTGCTGTTGGGGGGTGGGGGGAGGTGTGGGCCTCCTAGCATGGGCCACAGGGCCCTCGGGGAGACCCAGGCCACAGTCAGGGGAGGCTACTCAGCACCCACAGGCAGGACGGGGGGTGGGGGTGGGGTTGCAGAAGCCACCTCCTGGGGGTTCAGTCCAGGATGGGGACTCTCAGACAACCCTGGCCCGCCAGGCTCCTCAGGTCCACCTGGGAGTCCAGCCTGCGAGAAGCACGGCCAGCTGCTGAAAGTCACTGCACTTGGGTTGGCTAAGACTCTGCGAAGGATGAGGACGGGTCACCCACCTGGGCCCCACTCCTGGATCTAAGCAACTTTCTCCTAACTCCCAAGTCTCTGAAGCCAGAGGGGCGCCCCAGAACCGCATGGCACAGCCCTTCTCTCCCGCAGCCGGAGTGCCAGCTGCGTCCCCCTGCGCTCCTCCGTCTCCCCATCCCTTCGCCCGTGGGTTGTGCCCTACCTAAACGCGCCGGGAGGACCCGAGAGCGGAGGGCGCACTCCAAGGGGTCAGTCTGGACGAACTCGGCCCCGGGGACAGTGGAGGGGGCGCCAGCGTCCTTTCCACCCCCACCACTTTAACACCCGGCTCCCGCATGGGGCCGCCCTGAGCCCCCCCCAAATCCCCTGCCTGGGGTGGGGACCTGGGCCCTGCGCCTGCGCCAGGTGAGCGCACAGGCGCCCCCAGGGTGAGTCACAATCCAGACCCCGCCTCCCGGCAGCCCCCCAACCCGGCCGGCCCACGCCCCCCCCCCATGGCTCCCGCGGGTCGGCGCCCGCTCACCGCTCTTCCTGCTGTCGCCGGCGGCGGCAGGCGGGGGCCGAGCGAGCAACAGCAGCAGCAGCGGTCCCGCCACCGCCACCGCCACCGCCGCGCCCCCGGTCCCGGTCCCGGTCCCGGTCCCAGCCCGGCCCATGGCTCCGCGCTCGGCCCGGCGCTACCCGGACCGCGTCCCCGGCCGCCCGCCCCCGCCGCCGCCCGGGCAGCCACCGCCGCCCCTGCGGCCCCCGCCGCCGCCGCTGCCGCCTCTGCCCCGGGCTCCCATCGTCCCGGCCGGTCCCAGCCGCCGGCGCCCCGGGCACTTCCGCCTGCGAGGCCCCGCCCCGCCGGGAGCCGGGGACCGAGCGGGACTCGGGGACAGGGGTGGGAAGGAGGACGCTGGCGGGGGGCTGAAGCGGGCCGAAGGAGACTTGGGGACACAGGGGGAGCGCGAGGAAAATGGGTCAGAGGGAGGTCGCGGGCTGAGAGGGAACGCGGACTCTCCGCGGCGCGCGCTGCTGGGGGAGGCAGGGCGGGACAGGATGGAGGGTCACGCGGTGCGCGCGGGGGACTTGGAACCGAGAGTGCCGGGGGGCGGCGGGCTGGCGCGGGGCGCGCGGGGGACGTGGGACGGAGGGGGCACCGGGGGGCTGCGGACTGGCGGGCTGGCGGGGGACCACGGCGCACGAGGGCGGCGGGCTGGCGCGGGTCCCGGCGGTGCGCTCGGGGGCGTGGGACGGAGGGGGCATCGGGGGGCTGCGGGCTGGCGGGCTGACGGGCTGGCGGGGGACCACCGCGCGCGAGAGCAGAGGGCTGGCGCGGGAATCAAGAATTCAGAAGGGAAAGGGTCGGGGCGAGAATTGGAACCCACTGTAGATCTGAGGCGGCAGGCGATGCCGGGATCGCCCCCAAGAGCTTCCTACAGTTGCTGGGATGCACGAGAGGCCAGCGTCTGGGTTCCCCGAGTGTGCACCGGGCACGCGTGATGAGGGCCTCCGAGCCGGGTGCTGAGGACGCTGGGGAGACTCGCACCCACCAACCATCGAGTCCTGGGCGCACCTCCGCCTTGCCAGCCTTAGCCTTGACCGTGTGCCTCCAGCCCCTCACAGGTGGGCTCCCCAGGCCAGGCCTCCCAGTCCTCCACACCGCGAAACTGCTAAGAGTGTGTGCAAAGAACACCCTTTTATGGAAAAATGGAAAGGCTCCATGTCCGTGTGGGAATTTCGTACTCTATAAGGTGGCAATTTGCATCAGTGAGTGGGACTCACCCCTCACCCTTCCCATCGGGTTAGATTCCAAACGGGCTAGGGATTTCTGCCTTAAAAAAAAAAAAAAAAAAGACGAAAACCTGGGGGAAATTTTTCAGATTCTTGGGGGAAGCAAAGGTGTTTCTCAATAGGACCCCAGGCCCAGCCAACTAGAAGAGACTCGGAAATTCAACCAGGTGAAATAGAAGCTTCCTCCAGAGCCAGACCACCACCTGCAAGGTGGAGAAACAGTCCATGGACCCAGGAGGACATGCTCCCATCGCCTACCACAAAGCACCAGTCCTAATAAGATTAATAATAGTTTATTTTCAGTCTTTTAAAGATTTTATCTGTTTAAAGATTTTTAAATATTTTATTTATTTGTTTAATTACCAAGATTGATAGCAGTTTAGGACTGATAACAGGACACCTGCGTGGCTCAGTGAGTTAAGCATCTGCCTTCTGCTCCGGTCATGATCCCAGCCAGGATCCTGGGATCAAATCCCACATGCGGCTCCCTGCTGAGCAAGGACCCCCCCCCCCACACTTCTTCTGCCTGCCACTCCCCTTGTTTGTGCCTGCATGCGCGCTTTCTCTCTGTCTCTCTGACAAATAAGTAAAATCTTAAAAAAAAAATTTATAAGTTTAATAATGAAGAGTCCCAATGAATCAATAACAAAATACCCACTCTTCAGTAAATCCAAGGAGACTCCCGTAAAGGATATGCAAATGAAGAGAAACAGTCTCCGACCTCCCCAGACTAAAAAGCTCCTAGACGTCTTTTTTCCTTATACCTAACAGATCTGCAAAGGTCAAAAAAGTTTGATCACGCTGGAAGGGTTAGACTGTGGGCCCACAGACATTCCTGTATTTGCTGAGCAGTGTTAGAGCATCTGAAGCCTCTGGACTCAGCTCCCAGAGCGACAAGGGCTTTGCTTTGTCCCCCTCTGCATTCGCCCTGTAGAGATGCTCACAGAAGTGAGATTGCGGGATGGTACAGCATACGTCCCGATGTTGGTCATTAGGCAATGGCGCGTTCGAATCACGGACATTCATACCGTGATTCAAACACCGACACAGTGCGGCGGTAAACCAGGAAGCCCTATGGCCAGTTGAGAACGGCCTGCCAGATGGAGCCTTGGCTGAAAAAAGGAAAGGGCAGAACAAGGTGTATAGAAAGGTATCATTTTCAGAGGAAAAATTTTTTTAGAGAAGGGGAGGGGTAGAGGGAGGGGGAATGAGTCTTGTAAGCAGCCCAGGCTCGATCTCATGACACTGAGATCATGACCTGAGCCCAAGTCAAGAGTCGGGCACTTAACCGACTGAGCCACTGAAAATTACATTTGCCTGCACCGGAGGCATAGGGTGACTTGGAAGCATCCAGCAGCCAGTTGTGCTGATTGACTCTCGGGGGAGGGAGCCCGATTGGTTTAGGATTGGAAGGAAGGATTTTACCTGTGGGTGTCTTTTGAATGTTGTGCCTCTTGGGGCAGGGGATTGAGAGTTTGCAGAGAGGAAGGGGGAGACACTTGACCCAGCCGGATCAAGACCACTAAAAGCTGCAGAAGGGTGGAGAGTGGAGGCCCAGGCAGGAGGAAGGCCAAGACGTGAAGCCACTGAAGAGCTCCTCTGTTCCGTGGGGACCTAGGCTGGGGCCTCCTCACCCCTGACCGCAGGGCACTCCCGGGCTGCTGGCCATTCTCAGTTTAAAGGGACAGAGGTCAGTTGTGGGGTTTCGCTGAGCTTGGATGTTAGTGCTCTATGCTGAGTCCGAATCGTGCTGGGGCAGCAGCTGTGGTCAGCACTGGGCGCTGGAAAGCTCTTCCTACTCTGGGCTGGGCTCGGGTCCCCCACTAGCCCGCCTCACTCTGGGGCTTCCCTTGTGTCACTCCAGGGCGGCCTCCTGTGCCCCCAAGCTCCCCACCAAGTAGGAGAGGAGGTGGCAGACATGCTCCATACCACGGCTGTGTCTGGGGGCTGGTGAACTCGTAGATGGACTTGTGCCCTGGGCTGATGTCAGGAGACCTGTGCTAAGTGCGAGAGCACTGGCGGTGGGAAGAAGCCGAGGGCCCACCTGGCGGAGCCTCAGTGGGAAGACAGGAAGAGGCCCCACCAGGAAGGCCCTGTCTGCAGAACCTCCTGCCTTCCACCGCACACAGATCAATGAATTCCAACCAGAGGAGTGGTCGACTGTTGAGAATAAAATGAGAGAAATACTAGAAAGAGACTTGGAATGAAGGGATGGAGAATCATGAGGGAGAAGGTACTCATTTGACTACATTTTTAAAAATGTTTCGTGCAGCGCCTGGGTGGCTCCGTCTTAAGCGTCTGTCTCCAGCTCAGGTCATGATCTCCGGGTCCTGGGATCATCCAGCCTCGCTGGCTCAGCGAGGAGCCTGCTGCTCGCTCTCCCTCTGCCTGCTGCCCCCCTGCTTGTGCTCTCTCTCACTCTCTCTCTGTCAAATAAATAAAATCTCTAAAGAAGTCATCGAGTCAAAAGACAAATGGGAGAATACATGTGCTGTGCGTACAATAATGGGTTGTTACACTAAGATAGAAAAGAAATTTACACACTGAAACCAAGACAACCCAAAAGGAAAACAGACTCAGGCCACTTACAACAATCACAAGAGAATGGGCTGGAAGACGCCACAGGCCGGCATGAACCCCCCAGCTCGGTCACACTGGTGAAAATTCTAGTGCTTGTGTGATTTTAACACAAATAAAACCTCGGTCAGACTCAGGCAGGCAGCCCTCTCCAGAGGCAGGGAACAGGTGCCCCACACAGTGCCCCTGGGAATGCAAACTGCCTCAGCCTTTTGAAGGTCTCTGTGGCAACATTAAAATCAAACAAACCCAGGAGCCTGGGGACAGACACACAGGGAATGGGCCCGGAGCCTGTGTCATTGCAAGAACCTGGGAACTCTACAAAGAAATCAGGATGTGTGCCGTAAATTTCTGCACAGCTTCTAGACGATAATCCTGCAGGATTATTGACAGAGTGGAGAGATGCCGTTGCCGGATAACATGGATCCATCCCATTTCTGAATTGGAATGTTCTCAGGCCCTCTCACCGGCTCGGTGGGTGTAGACCGAGGGGACTGCTGTCCACTCACATGGAGGGGAAGACGGAGCGGTGGACAGGGGAGATATTTTCCCCACACGCAAACCATGTCTGGCCCCTTGTGTTTGCTTTGCATAAAAATTTCAAAAGTTAAAAAAGAAAAAAACCCTATAATCCAATTTTATTCAGCTAATCAGAGGAAGAAATGCAGCACGAGGTCTCTAAGACCTCAGGTAGAAGAAGAAAATGTGCAGGGAGCCCCCTCCCATCACCCTCCCCTCCCGCCTGTCTCACTGCCGGCTCCAGGCTCCCTGCCCCCTTCCACTTCTTCTGCCGGCCCCCTTCCCTCCCTCCCACCCTCTCTCCCTGGTTCTTCTAGGCTAGTGGTGCAGCCACCCTGGGCCCAGCTGACATCTGGTCTCCACTCCCACAGCTCCTCTTCTAGCCAGAGACGGGTGCTCAGCCCTCCACAAACTGTGGGAATGCTTCAGGTCTTCAGACACCCTGGCTGCTCTCTTCCAACCTGCCTGTCTTAACCCTAACTCACATGGGCTCCTCCTCCAAGCGCCTCTTGTGCAGGAGTCCCTGTGAAGACCCCAGGTCAGAAGGAGCTCCCTGCTCTGTGTGCTCATGGCCTCCTGTCCCAACACCGTTCTGCGGGCTTCCTGTAGGAAGGGGCTGGGTCACACCTTCCGTGATCTCATGGCTGCAGGGGCGGATGCAAGCCGTCTCCCTCCTTGTCCCTGTGCATCAACTTGTTGGCATAAACTGGGCCAGGATCCCCCCAAATTTGCATTTCATAGCAATGTTTTACCCAAAAGTTTTGGAAGCAACGTAAGACTTTTGAATCTTTATTTTACCAAAATA